TTGATATTTTTATTTAAACCTTTATTGATAATAAATCATGTTAAAAGCAAATATATAAATATTATTATTTTCTTCTTAGTTTTTTTGTTTGGTTATTCCGAGGGACCTCTCTTTTATTTTCAATATCTACAATTTCCCTGGTATATTTAGATGGTCGATTACTAACAAGGGTGTTGATATTGGTCCCAACCAAAGATTTTTTGGTATATTTTTTTGTTTTTTTATGATTACTGAGCCATGTTGGATCGGGTACAAATGCATAACGTTCCTTGAAAAATGCCAATGTGGCCTTGTCGATATCGTTTTTCTGCTCATAAAAATTAATATTACCTTTGATCACACTATCGTGTTTTTTGAGTTGAGCATGTATGTTTTCTATAGTATCAGTGTATTTTAATTCTCTACCATTCTTGCTATTACAACCAAAAAAGTCCATATAATTAACCTCTCTGGTAAAATATATGGCTGACATTGGATGCTTGATATGTACCCAGTAACATTTGTTTCCCCCGTATCTTTCTAAAAGAGGATTGGTTTCGATGGATTCGAGGGTATCCGAGAAGGTAAGCAATGCCATTGGTAAGATATCGCTTGGTTTATCATTACTATTCATATCCCCTTCCCCGGTTTCATTGGATGCTATGACTTCAACATCTCGTGTGAACCTGAATCTCTCACTGGAATCTGGTTTACGGATCTCAGCAAAAGAACGCATGCCACAGTATTTTCTTTCTTGTCAGAGAATAATGTAAATATGCACAACAGAGTTCTTTTTAATTAAGTCTTCAGAGAGACTATCGTAATAGGTTATCATTCGTTTGATCTCTTTACTATGCAACTCCTGTTGTTCCTCAGAGTCACACCCTTCAAGGCGCTCATAAATAGTCTTATTCTTTGCAAAGCTTGCTACATTATCTCCGGTACTAACGTTTATATAATAAACATATTTAGATTTCTCCGATTGTGTTCCTGTACCGTAGTAATCATAACTTGTTGGTGTGATGTAATCAGAATAATTAGTATCCATGTTGTTATTACTTTAATTTTA